TATATATACACTGTTTAACAAATCTATTATGCCATCTATAAAGCAAGATTTCCTTCTAAGGAAATGCTGGGTCAAGGTAAAACCAAAAGATAAACACAAGTGATATCTAATGATTATGATTAGGACTAACATCCTCCTTTCCCTCTATTTCTTGACTTTTTCATTGCCAACTAAGTTTAATGTACCTGGAAACATCTGGTTTATCAAGACCTAAAACCTGAAGTTCTGCTGTCTCTGTTAAAGTTGTCATATTGACAATAAATCAGTGCGGACGCGTACTGATGTTTGAACTTCTAACAAAATTTGATTGTCCACAATAAGCTGTATATTAGTGATTTACTTTGATTCTATAAAGAAATGATCTTGTTTATTCTTAGATCACACTAAATGCACTGAGTCACATTCATCTTATTGTGTTATTGTGTGGTGTTACACAGACAGGTATCACATGAGCAGTTTGACCTTTTCTCTTTCAGTCGAGTGGGTTTTTACATCAGCACATATAAAAGTGTGACCACTCTTGAGGCAAAATTTCATCGGGAGATCTCACAGGTGAGTTCATAATCTGTTTATTTTCTCTGGAATCTTCTCAACATTGTAACAAAAGAACCTGTTTGATCCAACATCCCAGGTGTGCAGGGAGCTATATGAAGTCATGACAAAACTAGGAGAACAACATTCTGACAAAATATTCACCATCCAGGGAGCCCCAAGGTAATCGAAATATCTTAAGTCTTCAAAATGAATCAAACTCTAAAGGTTTGGGCTTAAAGAGATTCTGATTGACTGCTGGGTTTTCATCTTTAATCTTTTGGGTTTTTTTGTTCTCAAAGGTTAAAGACTTTACACATGAGAAAAGTTTGTTTAAACTGTTTGGTTTATATCAAAGAAACGTGTTTATATTGTCTGACACCAGCCAGACCATCAGCTTACTTCAGTGCATATCCAAATCCCCACAAAGTCCTCTCTTTCTGTCTGGTCTTTCAGTGATTCTGGACCACTGCGTCTTGCCAGAACTCCATCACCACCAGAAGATGAAAGTCCACCAGAGAGTCCAGATGTTGGATCTAATCACATGCTCCGCCCCATCTCACCTGGCCCACCCAGACCTAAGTCACCAACACAGGTAAACCTGAATAGAAATGAGCATTTCCCACCTGGATCCACATCAGTTCCCTTTAAGTCATTGTGTTGACAAGATAAACTGGTTTCTATGAACATTTGATTCAGGATAAGTGATCACTAAAACAGTGTTTCTTATGAAATATTGACAAAACTTGAATTATTTATACGAGTCTCTAACAAAACAAATCAATAGACCCACTGATTATTTTTATTGGTTCCGGGTGTTTGGACCCCACGCAGGGGCGGAGCCAGGGGGTGGCCACCCTGCTGTACACAGCCCTCCCACAGTGAAACAACCTGTAGGGATGTAATAATCCTCCTGAACAGTTGGTGGCAGTGTTCAACAGTTTGAAACATCACCAAGCTTGATCACTGAAGAACAGTAAAGACAAGGAAGTGATGTTTTCTTTATATACAGAACCTATGCCTATATAATCTGATTTATGGTGTCAAGTTTTGGACTTATGGTGACAAATGTTTTTTTGTCACCATAAGTCAGTGTCATGTTCTGTTCTGTGTTTGSTTAGGAGTGGGGATATCACTAAATCAGAAAAAGTGAAACACCCCTCTAAATTCACTAAATTCATTGGGTAAATGTTATAATATTAGTTTTATACATGCAGTTGAGGGTCATTAATATTTGGCACGATGACATGTTACAATTAAAAATAAATCAAACAATATAAAAGTAAAAGGCACCCCTAAAGTCATTGGATATGATAAACTGTGTCACATTAATTAATC